ACGAGGCAGCGGGAGGCGTGCGCCGGCGTGTTTTAGTGTAATTTTAGGTATTAAACGAGGCACACAAGCTGAAATTTAGTTTCCAGAAGCATCCGCAGCACCTTCAGAACTTAGAACGACCCACCGTGCCAAATCCTCACTCGTTCGTCACCTCACGGGGAGTTTCCGGAGAGGTGCGGGCTGCCCATTTTTCGGAATGGGAGCAGAGAAATGTGTCTCCTACAATCCTCTTGACACTAGTGCGGCAGTAAATTGATTTCAGAGCTCTTAAGAGACTCTGGGCTGCTGCTGCTCTGGGGGCTCATTCATAAATTACACTTCCCTGCACGGAGAGCTACCTGATTGCCAGCATTGCTTCTTGGAAGTGTTGGTTCTTATGCGGGAAGGTGTGTATGTGCTGGGGATGTTTATAGATGTATCTCGGGATGTAGTGTTGTGCAGCACAAAGAAAATAGTAAATTGTGAAATAATTTTTTTTTGTCTGATACAACTATTCTTGCCAACTTTTCCTTAAACAAATCAAAAGCTGACAAATCCAAATCTTCTTAATTACAACCTCCATACTTCTGGTTCTGATGCTTAGCTGTAATTTATGATCCCTATTGCAATGAAGATGATAGCAGGCACTTAAGAGATCAGTGTGCTTTTGATCTAGGCCTCTTTGTGACTTTGATAGTAGCGTGCCCTTGGAAAGGGCATTTCAGTGCCCTGTGGCTCTTCTGTACGTGTCTGGAAGAAATCTCTTGGTGGGCAGAGAGCAGGTCCAGGGATCAACCACAGTAGCACTGCTTTTGTGAAGAGATAGAACTTCTGCAGGTTCCTATTTGTTTGGTTTTTTTTTTTATAGCACACTTCCATATAAACGCGAGTGTTCTTAGTCACAGTGAGAGTAATTCACTTAAATGGTTCATCTAAGGAGAAGCGCTGCTGTTTTGCAGAGGGTGAGTTTGTTGTATTTGTTTCCCAACATAGTGGGAAGTATGCTTTGGGCTGCAAGTTGATGCTAACTTTTCCATACTAACAACTAATGTTCTTCCTAAATAAATCCCGCTCAGCTTCTGAAGGGTTCTTGCCCTGAGGATTTTGTGTGAGTTTCTCTTTTGGCTCAGGTGAAACCGGGCTGCTCGCGGTGCTTCTGTGTACCTGCAGGATCATGCAGTGGATATCGAAATGAGACTTAAAAATTCATTTCAGTAGAATGTCTCAAGGTTTATTCAGAGATAATTCAGCAGATGGTCCTATTTAATATCTTGTTGCTCAGTTGCTGTTAGCTATAACATGAAAGTCTGTTTCTATAAAATATATAGACTTTCTGATGATTCAGGATTTAGAAGGCAGAGTAACAAGGCATTAGTTTGAGTTTAGGGACTTTACTGCATGAGACCTTATGAACAAACTGCAAATTTATTCCTCTAGTGGAAATTGTAATTGTGCCTGAAACTGCGAGCATTAATCTCACTGGAGAGATCATTTCAATGAAATCTCGGTTGTGCGCTACGTAGTCTCACAGATAAGGGCAACACAAAGTGTCGTAATGCCATCAGACCTTGGTCCTTGGAGTCAGATTCTTGATCTGCCCAACTAGTAGCTTGATAAGACTTTTTAAAAGATAATCTTTTCCTTTAGCTAGTTCCGTTCCTGTGTTGTGTTTTTTTACCAGACTGCAGCATGACAGCAGCTGTCAGCTTTTAACTTGTAAGAAATGTTATTTCTTCGTATGTTGTGGAAAAAGAAAAATCATAAACCAAAAGGGCTTCTATTAAGTCTGTTGAACAAAAATTAAAGAAAAAAATTAAAGAAAAAAATATGAGCTATATTGTGTGCCCACATTCCTTGATATTCTAGAAAACTAAAATCATGTGAACAAGAGAGGAAATACAGCGCAGAAATCTTTCGCACTGGTAAAATAGGTGCTCGCCTTTCTTTAGATTGCAGCCCCGATAGCAGAAGATCCTCTGATGTGCACGTGTGTGAGCTGCTCTGGGCTGAGGAAGAGAACTGTAATACCAAGAGTCCCTGGGTGAGATGGATCGCCTGTAGCTCTTTTCTGTAGAGGGTTGATATTGACAAAATTCAGATTTTATGTGAAGAAAGACAGTAAATATTAAGCTAGGCTCTCGAGTAGTGTTGGATCTGTATTATCGCTCTCAAGCCCAAGGAGTGCCAGAACGAAAATGAATAGAAGGGCTGCACTGGAAAGAAAATTCTGGGAGTTTTGGGCTAGATGTTGATATTCTGTACTTCACATGCTTTATTATATTTAGATAATATTTTGTATGTTAGCTCTTTTCCTGCTGCCAAGTGGTGTCTGTGTAGGAACAATCTTAACTAGGTACATTGGTTGTGATTGTGAGTAGCAGATGGGGACTGGAGGTATTCCTGCCCTGCTTTCCAAGTACCTTCTCCTGTCCATTAGTGTCACCTTTGATTTTTACAGCTGATAAGTTCAATCAAGATAAAGTGGTTTTGGAGCTTCTGGGTTTCTTCTCGATCTTCTCATTTGGTGGCAGCATGCTGTAGCTCACAGTAGCTGATTCTTCAGATCAGGTTGCTACTTCTACTCCCGTGTTGATTTCCAGCGAACGTGATCCAAATGCAGCCTTCAAATTCACTTGTCTGCCGGCTGAGTAAATCTCTGTGTCCTGTTTGACTTCAGAAAATCAGTCTCTCCTCAATCACGAAATGCCTTTGCAGCTTTGCCACTGTACTTAAGCTTGTTTTGTGCCTGTGATCTTTTCATACTTCTATATGGAAAGGGAGGTCTCAGTCCATTACCCTTCTTAACACAGTCCTTTTTGGGTTAAGTTTTGACCTTCTTCCTTCACTACCTCTTCTGTGCCCTAACAGACCCCATATCTGCTAGGGGAGGCTGTCAGCAATATGGGGAGACCTGGGCACATCAAGAACCAAATGGGGCCAGTTCCTCAGCCCATTCCCAGGCCTACCACCAGAAGGATGCAGTTCCATCAACTAATTGCCCTAGCGCGAAATATGACAGGACACACTATCTGTGGCCTCCGCTAATGGCAGAGGCTGCAGGGAAACCCATCCTTTGCTGCGGCTGCTACGCTCAAGGACGGTCCTCAGGTAGGTGAGTCGCAGCTGTTGACCTGTAAGTTAGGTGAGTCTCTGAAGCATTTTTGAAACTTAATGCAACCGTTTGTGCTGTAGCCACAAAAGCTGTAGGTGGGGAGAGGTTTGAGAATGTGTTCCTGCTGTCACCTATCTTGTCTGGGCTCGGAGTTTCCGGGTGCCGAGAGCTGGCAGGAGTTTTAAAAGGTTTAGCTTGTTGATAAACGCCAAGATTCTTCTTTTTGTTTTAGTGCATCAGTTGGAAAACAGAACTTGTGCTACAGGATGGCCGTGAAGCTGGGAGCATGAGTTGAAATTAATAGCTGGGGTTTGCATAGGAGAAGCTGGGGGAAAGGCTGTTAAACTAAATCTTGATGGGATTGTTCTCTGAACATATTTTGAGAACTGTCCTGATTTAGACTATAATCTGTATCTTACTGTCTTAAAATTTAGTCCAAGCATCACTAAGTCACTCTTTTTGAAGACAGCTGCAAGACTTTCTCACCTGGATTTAGTTTTCCTTCTTCATTTAAGTTGTGGTTTCGTGGTTTTTTTTCTTTTTTTTACCCTTTGTGATCTTGGAAAGGTGAATAAGGTCTCACATTTTCCCAGGAAACAAAGTTTAAATTTTATCTTATTTTTCTTGTAAGCCTGTCAGCCACATCAGAGGGAGATGATGCATGTGGGCTAAAATACAAATACTTTTCTTTCTTGGTTACAGAAATACTGAAGTAGCAAGTAGGCCAATTTTAAATGTAATTGTTCAGCTTTCCTGTTTGTGAAAGTGGTGGCCCATAATCAGGGCTTAATTTTGTTGACAACAGATAGTCAAATTCTCCTTCCTGTTGCATGGGGGAGATGAAAGTGTGAAAATCTTACTGGCAGTATGGAGAATGATTTAATGCCTTGACCTTCTATAGCAGTTTTCAATTATAAAAGAGTGGTATTAGAAAGGAGATGTAACTTCTTTCTTGAAGGGCTTGTATTCAGATTTTCTACCTTTAGTTTCCAGTATAATATGAAATGATTCATGAAAGCATTTCTAAGCAGTGCAGCTAGCCCAGTAACAAATAGGAAAAATACTCTAAAGGGTTTTACTTGCTTAGGTAAGAAATACTAAACTTAGCATGTCTGCTGTGTCTTTATTTCCTCCGAGGGGGCTCCTGTTCTTACCTGTGCTGGGTTAGAATATTCTTGAGCCCAGATATAACTGTTTTCCATTAATAATACTAATATGATGGCTGTTCAGAGCATCTGAGAAATCTCCAGTCTTGACAGAGAAAGAATCCATTATTTTCCCCATCTTTTGTAGCAAAGGTGGGAAACCAATTCTTGTTTTCTTTGTGTATATATGCATAAAATGTACAGTATATATCTTTGTATATATAGAATATATGTTATTTAATATATAATTTATGTAGATTGAACACAATTCCTTGAAAGCATCAAGCTGCATTTTATACTTTTAAATGAGAGGCTTTTGTGATGTGATCACTAAGTAAATGCCTTCTGAAGTGTAATTGCTTGTTTCTCTGCCTGTTGAGGTTATGTATTAACTGGAAAACATGGAAAAAACCCAGTAGCAATGCAGTCTTGACAGCTAGTTTTGTTGGTTTGATTTGCAGATCTTGGAGAGTGCACCCTCTAAGCTGGATTCTCTTTGAAGGCGTGAATCTCATACCATACATAGTTTAATATATGACTGAACTAGTGCATTCTGATAGGAAAATGCTTATAATTTCAAGTTACTGCATCTTGTCTTTGTTTAAAAGAAAAAAAAAGTGTGACAGCTGGGGCAAAATCTATTCATGGAAATTTGCAAGGTTTTAGCCATCGTTGGGTGAAATCTTACTTTGGTGTCAGAGGAAACGTCTCTATTCTGTGATCTGGTGCTGTATTTTTGAACCAATTTACTGGAACAGTTTAAGGAGTGCGTCTCCTTGCACAACTTTAAAAAGAAAAGTTAATTCAGAAGACAGCAAATGTCATCAGAGACCAATGGAGTTCCCTGAGATTTTTAGATACTCCAAACGTGATGCCCTGTGAAAATCATTCCCTTTGTTACACAAGTCTGATGCTTCTTGCTGATACAGATAAACCAGTTCATCTGCCTTGCTGGAACCACTCAGATTTTAGTACCTCCTTTTGTTAGAACTTAAATCTGTGTTAACATAACAAAACATAATTCAGTCCTTCTGGAAGCACTTGTCTTGCCTTAAGAGTGATTTCACAGTGCAAGTGCGAGGTTTCTCCTGGGTACTGCCCAGCCCACTGAGCTGGAAGAGGAGGGAGCAGCCTTGCTGGTCCTGGTGCTGTGGCAGGTACAACAGCCTGTGGATGGAACAGTTCTCTCTCCTCCTCTCCTCGTACGCAGGTGAACTCCAAGCTGTATACGGAGAGAGGTCATCTACCTTGCTGTGACCTAGGTCAAGAAATTGTTTAGCATTTGATTGCTATTCTAGGGAAAGGTCTTCTGGCAGGCTGCTGGTGAGTGTCCAATTGGCGAGTTTGAAGTGCCCTGCCAAGCTGGTAAAATGACAAACTCTTACCAGCCGGCCTGTGCCCACTCCCTTTGTTTTTTTAGACTGTCACAGCATACACCAGGACTATTGCTAAACCTGCTGCTGAGTCAGAAATACTCAGGGATGAAAGGAATATCCTGTGTCAGATGAAAATGTGCTACTTTTTTTTTCCTTTTTTTATTTTTTATTTTAATCCCCCCACCTCCAATCATGGAGCCCTCCTCTCATGAAGGCAGAGTGCAGCAGGAGCACTACACAGACTCTGCTACTCATTTTCTTTAATGTCTATGGATAGAACTGTTCTGTTTTCAAATGGTGGTTGTCTGTGTAACGCAAAGTATTTGATTAAATGGGATAAATCATTATAAAAGACTTCCTGCTCTAAATATCAGTAAATGGTAATATTAAATCCTAGCTATTTACTTGAAATTTATGCCATTTTGCCAGGAGTTAAAAAAAAAGGAATGAGGAATGTGAGCTATATCTTTTTTCTAGTTGCTCTGACACTTTTTCTTAAGGCTTGGTGAGAAAAGGGAGAAATCATAAGCTTCATTCAGCTCTTTAGCTGTTACGTGCTTCTGTATCTGGAGTACTTGATGCATAAACCCACTGTAGCTTTCCCAGGCCTGGATGTTGAAGAGCAGAGCTTTGCTTTCTGCACTTTTTGGGGAACGAGGATGGAGCCCAGCTGGGGGAAGCTGGGTTTTCCTACTGCTGACAGCTCACGGTGGTTATATAGGTGCTGTGACCAGGGGTAAGGCTGGTTGATCAAGTGAACCCTGCAGCTGCTCCGGTGAGTAGCAGTTAGTGGTGGGAGCTCTACCTCCTCTTTATTTCTAGATTGAATTCTCCCTTATTAGAAAATTTAGTTAGAGGGTTTTTTTTTTAACATTCTCTTTTCTTACATCCTGTCTCGAGAATATGGATGCCTGTTACCAGAAATAAAGTGCGGGGGAAGGTCTAGGCACTGCCCGAGGGTGCCTTAGCTAAGGGATTTAATACTTCTGAAGTCCTGCTGAGAGGTACACCCCATTTCCCAAGAAACCTCTCAAAAATGAAAGTGTCACAAAAAAGGAAAAAAAGCAACACAATGAACAACCCAAACCAAGAAGACGACCAAGTCCCAAAACTCCAGAGCAAAAAAATACATTCACTCCAAAATGTACTTTTGGGCAGTAGAAAAATCTGCTTCCATTGTTCATTTTAGCACCTTAGTGTGTTGCATTAGTCAGTCAGGCATTGCATGTCTCTACTGCAGTGCTTCTTCATGTTTAACCTTTATTTCAGCTGGATGCGTATGATTTATTTGGATTTCCTTTTTGAAGTAACCACAAAACTGTAGGTTTAGGTAGCTTGGGGAAGTTCCTTTTTTCACCGCGTTGTCATCTCAGTACACATAGTATCTTAGGGAAATGTTAATTGTATAGAAACATTTTCATAAAATTTTAAACTTTGAATAAATTGAGTAATTCTCTTCTGCTTTAAGCTCCTTTTGTGTGCCTTATTCTATTTATGCTAATATAGATAATACATTGGTTCTGGGGCCATGTGTATATATTGCTTAAGTATTAGAAAGGGCTAAGGTTTAATGTCATAAACAAGAAAATTAGTGATTGGTCACTTGTGGTAAAGCTGTCCTGAAACTGTTCTCTGAAAATACCAGAAGTCACTGTAACTGAACCACGTGCAGCAAGGTACTGTTTTCTCAAGTTCGTGTTGTTTTGTTACTGTTTGAGGGGTCTTTTTATTCTATATTCTGAAATTTTTCTTGCTCATGCAACTTAAAGTGGTTTCTAGTCTTTCTCTGCTTAAATGCAGTAACTTTGCTCTATGTTTTTGTAGAGGAGAGCCTGCACACACTCAGGTGGAATCGATGTAAAACCTAGAGAAATCCAATCGTCTCAGTATTTGTAAAGGCTGTTTCCTTGCTGGGGCATACTCCAGTATTGATTGGAAGATTTTAAATAATGACTTATTGCTGTTTTGCTTTTGAAAACCTCTTGTAGCATCCAAATACCCTAAACCACTGGTACCCCTTGAGAAGCCAGCGAAGGAGATAGTAGCACCAGAGACGCCCGATACTTTTGGTACAGTAAAAAACCCAAACCCAAGTAAAAAACTGCTTGCTAAGGCGTGGCATTGCATAAGGCCAGCAGGCTGCTGGTTTGACAGACTTTCTGCTTGCTTGTTTTGATGCAATTGGCATGTATTGCTCCAAGAAATAGAAGTACACAATTCTTGTTTATTTATATTAATATAAAGCCTCCAGTCTTCAGAATTTCAGTGATCCCCACAGTATTTCAGGGATTTACTCTTTAATGTGGCCGAAGAAGTGATGTGGAAACTCCTGAGCTCTACTACAGTTTTTAGATAGCACCTGACCAGAGATTTCAGACTGTGAGAAAGCTTCATTTACTTGAAGAAGTTCAGTGGCATCTACTCTATACCTTTTCCTCAGAAAATGCTGTGCATTAAATTACGTGGTCCAAACAT